CTCACCGCCCCGCTCCCCGCAGGCAGCGGCCGTGCCCCGGGGGGCCTGGGGGACGGGGTCCCTGCGCCCCAGAAGGTGCTCTTCCCCGTGGAGCGCCTCTCCATGAAGTGGGAGCGGATCTACCGGGTCGGCGCCGGGCTGCACAACCTCGGGAACACCTGCTTCCTCAACTCCACGGTGCAGTGCCTGACCTACACGCCACCGCTCGCCAACTACCTGCTCTCCAAGGAGCACAGCCGCAACTGTGAGTGGGGAGGGGGGGGCGGCCGTGCCAGCAGGGAGGAGGAGGAGGAGGAGCAGCACCCGCCTGTCCTGCTCCCCGGGCTGCTCTCAGCACCTCTGCGTGGGGCTCTGGCGAGGGGTGTGTGGGTGTCGGGATGTGCCTTCACTGCTCCCTCCTGCCCGTTTCTCCATCGAGAGGCCTTTCCTGCGTATGGCTTGCTTTTCCTGGCCATAGCAGTGTTCCCGAGCTCTGCATCCTTGTGTCTGGGGAAGCTTTGTCTCTGCTGGGCGTAGCCAGGGCTAAGATGGGGCATCTGTTGGCTTCCCGAGGGCTGAGCTGGGGATCCTCTGAAAGGGATAAAAAACTGAGGTGGCTTTGAAAGGGAGTCCTGTGGGCATTGCTCCGAGCTGTGACCAAGGGGAGCACGCAGGGCTTGCAGCCCTGTCCGCAGGGCTCCGGTGGGATCTGCCCCATCAGGGCCGACCTGTGGGCTCCTCCAGCGAGTGGAGTGTGATCTGTTTTCCATCCACGTGGATGCTGTCTCGTCTGAGGTGGTTGCAGTGGCTGGTACTGTGACTTGGGCTGTGCCAGCTGGGGTGGCGTGTGCTGGTCCCTGTGCACCCGGGACGCCCCAGCGCCGTGCTGTAGCACAGAGCTTGCAGGGAAATTTTTTTTTAGCGTGGCTGAGCTGCGTTGGACCAGAGATCCCCTGTCCCCTGTACTGCCTCCCTCTCTCCTGGGTTTGTCCCCAACGTCCTGTCTTCTCCTCTCCTGCTCCAGGTCACCAAGGAGGCTTTTGCATGATGTGCATTATGCAGAACCACATGATCCAGGCTTTTGCCAACAGCGGCAACGCAATAAAGCCAGTGTCCTTCATCCGAGACCTCAAGAGTAAGGATGACTGCCCTCCCCTCCCCTCCTTTCCTGTAGCTGTGCAGGAGAGCAGTGACTAATGCAGGAGCAGAACCTTTTGAGATCAGGGCAGGTCCTGGCAGACGGCTCTTCTGAGATGACTCACAGAGCCTGCTGGGGGCTGGTGACTTCATGAGTTGTGTGGGGCTTCCCCCATGGCCAGCACGAGTCTGATGTCTGGGTCGGGTTGAGGGGGCTCAAACCCCAGAGTCTCTGCCCCGAGGGAGGGAGGGAGGGCCTGCATCTGTTGCAGCACGTGCTGGGGCTGATTCTTCCCTCTCCTGCAGAGATTGCCCAGCACATCCGCTTCGGCAGCCAGGAGGATGCGCACGAGTTCCTGCGTTATACCATTGATGCCATGCAGAAGGCCTGCCTGAATGGCTGTACCAAGTATGTGGGGCCTCTGATGGCCCATCGCTGCTCTGCTCCGCTGTCCCTTCCCTGGTCCCCTGCACCCGCGGGAGGGGACTGGGGGGTGAACATGTCCCCTGGGTTGGACTCATAGAGGGAGGTGCTGACTCCAGGAGCCTCGGGCAGGTGGCCCAGCGCTCTGCCCCTCTGTGACACAGCTCTGGGCTGTTGTCTGTCTTCTCCCTTCTCTTGACACCTCTGCCCCAGCAGAGCTGTGGTCGTTATCCCCAAATCCTGAGGCTGCTATGGGTTTGCATCCTGTCCCATTGCTGAGGAATCCTGGTGTGCTTGCTAGTTCAGCCCCAGCTCTGTGGCTGTGGGTGAGCAGCTTTCCCCTGGGCCCTCCATCCCGGGAAGCCTGCGCTGACTCTGCCTGCAGTGCCCAGCTCTGAGCTCCAGCCAGGAGTTTCTGCTCCTTCTGGAGGAAAGTACGCATCAGAGGCTGGTGCCACCCCCTGAGCTCCGGCGCTGGGAGAGCAGACTG